AAAAATCTAAGAGTATAACTGTAAATTAACATATCCACAGCAAAAGTTGATAATCAGAAGCAAGGGGTGAGCAGCTTCTCAAAATCAGCTTTTTTGACTTAAAATATGTTGTTAGAATCAGAAGCTGTTTGAAAAAAATTTAACCAAACAGAACAAAATAACTTTTTAAAATCCAAAAGCCATAAGTTGACTCAAAAAAGCTCTACCAAACACCCTCAATGTCTTCAATTTCAAAATTGAGAATGTTCTCAATTTATAATTATCAAAACTAAGAAATTTCTCAATTTTTTTTCTAGTATGAACTAAGAATATTATCAAAACTAAGAAATTTATAATTATTAATTTTGAAAAATTTCTCAATTTTTTTCATGATTAAAATTGAGAATATTATAAACTGAGAAGGTTCTCAATTTCAAAAAACCCTAGATCTCGATCTCTCTCTCTCTCTCTCTCTCTCTCTCTCTCTCTAATGGCAGTGGCATCTGTGAACTCAGTGAAAACCGAGACCTCAGAATCAATGGACTCATCGCCTTCCAGACGAGTCTCCGCGACACCGGCTCTAAGTCTTCATCTTCCGGTGGACTCTCATAAGCAACAGCCGTAGATCCACCCAATTCTTCACCCAACCCTCCCAGAGACCTTGAATTTTAGGTGGTGACGAGGTAGATCGGTGGCGATGGAGAGAGGTAGATCTGTTTAGAGACAAATCAACAACAGCCTCAATCTCACGCGTGAGCCACTCGCGGATTTGAGTTCTTCATCTTCATCGACGACGACGATGACGACACCGCAGATCTGAGTAGGGGGGAAGAAGGAAGTGGTTTTGGTAGTGGAGCTGGATTTCCAGCAACGGAGCTCAGTCGAGGACGTCAATGGAGGACTTGAGAACGGAAGGGAGAGGAAAGGCAACATCAAGACAGCTTGCCTGGAGTTTGTTGGAAGGGTAAATTGGTCTATTAAAAATTAATGAGACTTGAAAGAGTAAATAATTTTATCTAGGACTTAATGGATTATAAGTTCACAAAATGGGACTTGTATGTAAATGGCCCTAAAATAAAATAACTAGTTGATAAAAATCCAATCCCAACTCCCCGTTCAAATTGCACGACATAAGATACTGGATAAATTAGGTTGATCTCTTGTGAGGTTTGAAAAAAACACAAAATAGGTGTTATAAATTTTACATAATTATATTAGATTTTTAAAATTTTTTGATTTATATAACACTTAGTTTTGTTTTTATCAATAATTCATTAGTTATATTAATGGAAAAATAATGTTATTAGTTCTTTTACATTGAAATATATATATATTATTGTTAATCTTTGTGCTTCCACACTTATTATTTGTATTAATTTAAATCTTTTAACTTTATTAAAAGGAAAATTAATGTAATTATGATCAAATTGTAAGACTACTTGTCTTTTTTCTAAGCTTTAAGAGACATCAATATAATTTACCCTAACAACTAATATTATGGGCAAATTCACTTTATCCATTATGATTTGGGCTATGTGCGATTTAGCCTCCTAATTACTGTTTGAAAATGACCACATAACTCTTATGTGACTTGTAGACTGAAATACACTGTTAAACATTTAGTAAATGTAAAACACGTGGCAGACATAAAAGGGTTATATGCTCATAATTTTCAAATTTCAATGGGGATAAATTGCACATGAAATAGAGCACAGGGAGTTAAAGTGTACTTTTTCTTCCAAACAAATGGCAAAAATATTCGTAATTAACATATTTAAATTACTTATATATACATGGATATTTTAATCTTTTTTATTAAATCATTAACGCAGTTGACAATGTACCACAAACCGTAATGAGGTTATACGGTTATTTTCAAGCGTTAGGAGAATAAACCACACATAATCCAAACTATAAGGGGTAAAGTGCAGTTTCCCTAATATTATTCACACCCTTTATACTCTTTCAAAGTAATTAATTATATCTCTTTTACCATAGCAACCTGATTAAAATGCCAATCATCACAAATTCTCCATGAAATTGTTGATAGAATCTCACCCTAGCAAATTTATATACACACATTAATGTTTTCAGTGTGTTCCTAATTTATACATACGGCTCCCAAGATTGTCACCACATCAAGCTTCCAAAATAAAAGTTCTCTTTTAAGTAATTACACTTCAAGATTGGGCTAAGTTTTCCGTCTTAGGCAATCTTCTTAAATTTTTTAGAGGGTAAAATTCCTCCTATATTATAACAAGAAGTCTATAGACTCAGATTAAAATTTTAAAAAATTATTCAAATTCTGCAATTAATGATCCGTCTTGAGTCATGATTTAACCTCACAACAAGATACTTCAATACGCCACCGATTTAATTATGAATAATTTTATAATCACTTTTCTAAAATCATAAATTTTCTAGTACTATAATATATTATTTAATTAGGACTTTCTTACACATTAACCTATCATATCAACCGAGTGGGAAACCATGCTCAATTTATCTCCCACAGAGATCCTTAGCGTACTTACCATTGATATCCACTTGGATGAGTTGTGGGTCATACTTGATGAATCCCCAATTGGAAGCCTGAAAATATATGACATAAAAAAATTATCAATCCAAGTGAACCTATATGGCTAACATGATCACCACAATATTGTATGCACAACTTTGAATCCCACATGAAGTATAGTGAATAAAGTAACACCATGTATGTCATGACATACATAAACAACAATACTACCGCATATTTGGTGTAACGTATTGTTAGTCAAAAGTTGTTAATTAAAAAATAAAAATAAAAAATACCACTCCCTTAATTTATAAAAAAGTCAACTTTTTCAACATATTTAATTATTTCTATTTAATAATAAACTATAAACAGAATCTCTACTAAATATTCTGCCACAAACACTCAAAGCTAACAACTATAAACAGTTCAAATAAATTTTACATATCCAAATCTTATATCCCGTATATTTTAAATTTATACCATATATCTTTTTTTAAGATACATTTTAAAACAAAATTTCCATAGTGGAGAGCATTTTCCTATGACCATAATAATTCTCCATCTTTAATAGCTTTCTTTTTGCTTGTTTGTGTCACATGTTTGTGGCTCATGTGTTCCCAAAAGCACAAGCCAATGGCGTGCCAAACCCATCATTTTCCTCACTATCCCAAACCATTATTTATTAATCAAAATGATTGAAACAAAAACAATACAAAAAAGCAAATAAAAATTAATTAGGTAGTATTTGGTTTACTTTTAGAATTATGGTTTGAAAATGGAATTGTATTTTGAGTTAGTGAGTTATTGAATCATGATTTGAAAAGAAAAAATTTATTTGGTTATGAATTTTCAAAAGAATTTTGAATTAAATTTTGAATGAGTTTTGACTTTTTGAAACGAGTTTTGAAATGAGAAAAGTTGTTAGATTATGAGTTTTGAAAAAAAAATTCAAAACTTAATTTAAAAACTTATAACTCATAACCAAACACACAATTCAAAACTCTATTGAAATTTTTATTCAAAACTCATAACCAAACTCTTTTTAAAATTTAATTCAAACAAATAATTATGGAAAAAAATAATTTTTTTATTTAAAAATTAAAAAAATAATTTTTTTATTTAAAAATTAAAAAAATTCTAGAAATATTTTTATTTAAAATATTAAAAAATATATTATTTTTTGTTTAAAAAAAAAATATTCAGCTAGTGTTTTAAAATTACTTTTGATTGTATATTTGGTTGAATTTTTTTTTAATTGTTTTGTTTAAAAACGGTCTTAAAAAAATAATTTTTATATTTAAAAAATTTCAAAAATAAATATAAATTTTTTGTTTTCAAATAACAGGTTACAATTGTCAAAAACAAAAAGCACTGTTCCAGTCAACTAATCGAACGCTCGAGAGATATCCGAGCGGACGATCAAGTAGACCTAATCCGCAAATTAAAAATTTAAAAACTCTACTCTGCCAACATATATTAGAATGTGTAATCAAATGTGACATTCAAATTAATTTTAAAAAACTTAAACCAAGCATAACATTCAAATATAACGGTAAAATTATAATTTGAAACTTAAATCAAAGAGAGTTAGATTTTCTCCTCCCTTGTGAAGTTGTGATCTCCTACCGTGAAACAAACCAGTACGATTTGTCACATAACAAAATTGTCATGTCACTTCACAATTTTGATAGACTAATAGTATATAAATACAAATATAATTTTTGTATAAAATCTTCATACAGACTTTTAATAATTTTTTCATTTTCAACTAAACTATTTACTTTTTTTAAAAAAATATTTACAAATTTTATAGTTTAATTATATATATGTAAACTTACTTTACAAGAAAATAAAAATTAGCACCACCACATTTTTAAATTTTCAATCAACAAGTTAACCGTTGATCAAGAATTTCTAAATTTTACTAGGATGTGAAATTGCTACAAGACTCCAACGCTAGTTTTAAATAGGGCAAATTACATATACCTCCGTTGAGGTTTGGTTAAATTACAGATACTCCCTGAGATTTTGAAAATTACATCCCTCCTCCTAAGGTTTGTATTTTCATAACAATTTGTCCCCTGAGGTTTAAATTTCATAACAAATTATTCCCTAATTTGTTATGCAAATATAGCATTCAGGGGGAAATTTGTAATTTCTCAAACCTTATGGGGATATTTGTAATTTAACCAAACTTCAAGGGGTATATGTAATTTGCCCTTTTAAATATCGAAAAAAATGTATGGAGTTTTTGTCATTCCAATACCTATACGCTCCTCTATATAGGTTGAATAAAATCAAATGCATATCGAGTGGTTACGGATAAGTATTAATCTATATGCGATTTATAATCAATACGATCAGTTTAACTGTTGTAAAATTCTTTTTATGAATAGTAATTTTAATATTTTCGTGACTTCAATACTTGTTTTTCAATAGGCATTACTCAAATACTCCTAATACGATTACATTGCAATCTATATTTATATATCTTCCAATATTACTATTTAAAAACATGTACGCACCAACTCCTCTCTTTATAAATCCACCCATTTCAACCTCCACATAAACTAAGAAACACCATGAGGTTCAACTACCTTGTACAAGCATTGCTATATACTTTGCTCTCTTCATCTTCTTTGACAGCCACACAACCCTCAGATCTATCAATCAACACCACCACAGTCCTTGACATTGAAGGTCATGAGCTCCAATCCAGCACAAAGTACTACACATTTCCAGTGGAAAGCCCTAACAGAGGTGGTGGACTCACACTTGCTTCCAAAGATGGTACATGCCCTTACTATGTCATGCAAGAAAGCTTTGAGTCCTCTAATGGCCTCCCACTTAGGTTCTTGACAATTGACAACAACAAAACAAAGTCCATAACTTTGTCTACTGATGTGAATATCGCATTCTTCGCGGCAACAACTTGTGTGCAGTCGACGGTGTGGAGGGTTGGTGGTGTGAGTGAGGTTACGGGGAGGAGGTACGTGAGGAGCGGTGGAGTGGCGGGGCGGCCTGGCTGGGAGACGGTGAACAACTGGTTTAGGATAGAGAAGGATGGGAGTGGGAATGGTTACAAGGTGGAGTGGCGGGGCGGCCTGGCGGGGAGACAGTGAACAACTGGTTTAGGATAGAGAAGGATGGGAGTGGGAATGGTTACAAGATTGTTTTTTGCCCTAGTGTTTGTGGCTCATGTAAGGTTGTTTGTGGGGATGTGGCTGTGTTTTATGAGGATGGGAAGAGGTGGTTAGGTTTGAGTGATGAACCACTTCTTGTAATGTTCAAGAAGGTTTGACTATATTTGATTATGTTTTTGGTTTTTGGTTTTCTGAAAAATAAAAAACAAAATAATTGTATCATTTTTTATTTGTTTTTATGTTTATACAAATTGGAAAATGATATAAAAATCTATTCTTTAAACTTACTTTTTAAACCCAGTGATGTGTCAAGAAAATAAGTTGTTGGCTCTAACTTTTGAGTCTGAATAGTAATGCTTAAGTGAGTTGTTTTTAGAAACAATTCTTCAAAAATTGCTTTGGAATAAAATAAGTCAAACAATTTTTTTCTTCTTTGAAAATAGAAAACAATAAACAAAAGAAGAAATTGCAATTCTGTATATGTTTCCAAAACAAACTTCAAATAAGTGGTAAAGCTTATCAACCGTAATAATTGAAGTGATAAATTTTTCCATAACTTTGTAAATATAAATTTTTTTGTTCTTTCAACCGATTTGCAATTTTCCCAAAACAATACGCCCAACCAAATGGAGTGAGTAATTTTAGGTGCACTGAAAAATATGAAAAATTATACTAAAAAATGTGTTCTCCATATGTTCCGAGATGGTGGAAACAACATTTAAACGAATCAAGGCTACACATTGATTGTTCTATAAATATCACACTCACCATATACGTTGGATTGTTGTTTGGAAAAAAATAAATAAATAATAGAATTATGTTAGGGATTTCAAATAATCTATTAAATTTTTTATCAGAACTCTTACATGTGAGTTTGTGTGGGTCCCACACCCATGTAAGAGTTATGGTAGATTATTTGGGATCTATAACATTTTTCTAAATAATAACATGAGCCATTTTGTTAATATTTCTATGAACCTTTGATTATTATATAAATTTAAGATTTAAACAAAACCTCAATGTTAAGCAGAGCACATTAACTTAAGCTTGGCTAATCTATTCAACCAATATCCAAAGTCAAAATTGATTTCAAATAATATTCTTTTTTTTTTTTTTGAAAAATGGTAAGGATACTTACACATTTACTAACAATTTTACTAACACACTCACAAGTTGACGTGGGTTCCATACCACTTGTTGGTTGATTTTATCAAAACTTGTGAGTGTATTATTAAAATTGTTAGTAAATGTGTAAGCATTATTGTTTTGTTTTTTTTGTAGGTGGGTCTAGGTTTTTATGCTATTTTGTTAACATGGGTTGGATATTGACCAGGGCTGGCCTTCAATTTAGCTCTATACATTAATCCCAAGCATTGAATCCAAATCTGGGCCGGACCAGAACTCAAATCTTGAAAAATTAAGACCAGCGAAACTCTCAGTAGGCCTATCAATCGGGTTCAGATGATCCGACCCAAGGGTTGTGGAGCTGGATTTTTTAATAAGGTTTTTTAACTTTTTTTATGAGGTCGAAAAAAAGTAAACGTATTTAGAAATAATTTTTTTTAATTGTATTGAAAATTGTAAATTACTGAGATATTGGAATTATTTTTTTTTAGTGATTTTGAAATTTTTAGTAATTTTTTGACATTTTGAATTTTTTTTTTTTTTTTGGGCATTTTAATCTATTTAAGCCCCAAAAACTAAAAGTCGCCAAAGGGCCCCTAGTTTAACTGATTTCTTTTGTAAGTTCAAAATCGAATACAGCCCAATTAGAACTCACTTCTCTGGGCCAGAGCTCAGCCCATTTTTTGCCAGAAGCTTCGGGTCGTTTTGGTGTTAGCTTGATTTCCAATATTTACTTTGGGGCCCATTAAATAATTAAGAAAACTAATGTAAGAAAACATATAAAATGTGTTAATATGTGTAGTACCCAAAAAAGAGAGGGAAAAAAAAATTAAAGTAAGAAAAGCAAATTTCACTCAAAAGAAAAAAATTTGCAAGGAATAGCTGACGTGGCAGATGTAAGATTGCACCCTATTGGGCCCGTTTGGTAGAGTTGTGAGAAAGTAATTATAGATTATAACTTAACAGATTATAACTTACATGTGTGAGTATAAGCTGGTAACCTGTTTGGTGTAACTGTGGGATTATAGATTTAAGCAGCAGAGTAGTATTTGGAAGTTGGCTAAAAGCCACTTTTTTTGGTTTGTAGCAAAAGCCAAAAGTTAGCTTTTTTGTCTTTTTTTTCATTTGGGAAGTTGGTTTTTAGCCAACGGTGAAATTATAATTTTACCCTCATGGATCAAAATGTGTTACATAAGTGAAGTCGTAAATATTTTAAATAAATGGAGGTAGTTTAGTCATTTTATTATGATTTTACATCATAAACAAACATTAATCAAAAAAGTCAAAAGTCACTTTTTACCAACTTCCCAAATCATTTGTCTAAAAAAGCCAAAAGCTTGGTAAAAAGCCAAAAAGTCACTTTTTACCATCTTCCCAAAATAAGCCAGTAAATAAGCTGTAAAATAACTTTTTGCTATGTAATTGTCATTTTTGCCCTAATGAACATAAAAACTGTAATTTTGTCATTTTCTTCACTTTAAATTTTGAAAAAATTATTTCATTAATGAAAGTTGATTAATTAGTACCTAATTTGGTACATTTTTACATTATCTCAATTTTATTTTATTTTTTTTAATAATATTGAGTTCACAAGGGAACAAAAAAATGTCATTGCAACAAAAATACAATAAATTACTATTAAGGCAATAAAAAAAAAAAGTAATTAAAAAATGGAAGCAAAAAGAAGATAGATTATGTTACATAATTACAAAGATAAAGATCTGTCTTAGGTGAGATATGTAAAAGATTAGATGAACAAACCAGAATATTGGCAAGGTTAGCCCATTTATACCTCCATTTACTCGATAAACTGCATGTTCTTATTGCATCCCTTATCGGAAGCTTTGTTAGGATGGTTTCTATAATACTTTGAGGCAGATCACTAATCAAATCTTGCCCTAAAACATTATCCATATGCAGTTTTCAGTTGAATTACCTACAGGCAGAGAAGAAAACAATACATCAACAGTCTTTCGGATTTCACAACAATTAAATATGAACCAAACCGATGTGTATATTTGTTATTATTTCTCCTGGTTGATATATTTGTTAGTATTTTTGTAGTGTTTCTATCTAATATGACTGTATATTTGTTCCAATAAAAAGACTTGAGTCACATTTTATATTAAATTTGACATAAAATTTAGCAAAGTTATAATTAAGTAATGGATTCAACTATTAAATGGAATTGAAATTTTAAAAGATCTAAGCCAAATAGAACAAATACACAGAACAAATTTTCAAACATCACAAAAATAGAAATATATAAAAAAAATTATATTTAACTATTATTTTGACACAACAGAAATATATAGAACAACATACTGATAATCTGAAAATCTACAATACAAACCAATCAAACAAACAAATAGATCTAAAAAGATGGAATAAATATCACCTCCTTTTGCCCAAAAAAACCCCAAATCAATAAATGAAATAAAAAAAAAAACAAATTAGAAAATAGTATGATATTTGGAATCAAACCAAGGGCTGATTTCAACAAAACTCAGAATATTAGAGTAGAAGAATAGAAGAAGAGAAGAAGAGAAGGGAAGAATATACCTCAGTCGCCGCCGCTGCTTGTCGCTCGTCGCTCGTCGCTCACCACCGGTCGAAGGATGGAGACATATTCCCTAAATCGAGAGGAGGGGGTTGGCTGGAAGGGCATATTCCCTAAATCGATGTGTATATCTAATATGTATATCTATATATAACAAAACATAGGGTTTAGGGTTTCAAATCTTACTTTTTGGTGGAGATCAATGGAAAACAAGGACGATCGCCAGCGATCTTCGATGTGTGGAGCAATTCTTCGTCGTTCGGCAGCGAGTGGAGAGGGGAAGAGGAGAGCGCCATTTGAGAGGAGAAGAGAAGAGAAGTGTTAGGTAAGAAGCGGTAGGATTGAACTCATAACTGTGTTTATATAGTGACATTTTCGTGATTTCTTAAATTTTGAAGGGGCATTTAAGTCATTTTGCCCCTCCACGATCAGCTGCGTGCATAAGCTAATTTGATAAGCACCCTTGGAGAAACTTTCAAATTTAAGCCAAAAATGACTTAAATTAAGTTATAATCTATGCCTTATAAGTTGTACCAAACACACCCTCATAACTTAATTTAAGTCGAAAGCTGATTTAAGTTGAAATTTTTTTTACCAAACAAGCACATTGACTCGTTACGAAAGCCATATTGACTCAGGCTTCGTTTGAGAAGTAAAAGTTGGGGGTTTTTTTTTGCTATTTTAGCCACAAAAATTAAAATAGGTTTTTTAGTTCAATAAGACAAAATATCACATCCAATCCATAATCATTAGGGGTGAGCTCTCAAAAAAAATCAAAAACCCTTCCCAAACGAGACTTTTTAACTCCAGGCTAAAATAGCTAAAAAAAATAAAAAAGCTAAAAAACCAACTCATTTCCCAAACAAATACGAAGTGTACTTATTCAGTGTGAATCAAAATGAATTTGAATTTTTGAAATGATGTTTATTGAAAAAGTTTGGTTGCATGTAATCAAAATGAAATTTTTTGAAATGACATTTACTGAAAAAGCTTTTAATCAACTTTTCAACTTCCCAAAATGAATCTGAATTACACATTAATTTTTTTGTAAATATCTTTCCTATAACTAAAATAGCAATACTTCATCCCCACAATAAATAAATAAATAAAAACTATTTAATTGATGGACATCAAACAAATGTGTGAGTGTTTTTTTTTTTTTTTTTTAAATTTCATTCTCTTCTGGTAATTCGGTGCTAAACTTGAGACAAATATATTGGAAGTCCTCCACGGTTTGCAATGCCTTGAGCCAACTATGCCCAAGCCCATGACTTGCGCATTGCCAAACTTCCCCTGATACCGTTGACAATGTCAAGGCTAAGATCCAGGACAAGGAAGGATAAACCCAACGGTTGTTGCCTATCCTTTTGGGGTGATCTGCTTCGACGACTTGAAGACTCCTGCCAACTTTTGGATGCCCTACCTCTCATACGGATGGGTCCTCTGCCGCGCTCCATTGCAACACCAAGCTCGGCTGAACTCCGAGCCTCTCTAACTAACATCCCCACTTATCTCACCTCACATAATAAGTGATTGT